AAGCTTTGTACATATTATTAATACCCTATAAATACAATGTAATTTGTTTGAAATTGAACAACAAACAGTTCACTTAAGTAATATGAAAATCATCAAAATTGTTATAAAAAAATCACAATATATATACCTCAGGGGAAAAAAATCAAAATTTGAAAAAGGGGTTTAAATCCATTATACTCAAGAGCAGATGGTTATTTTCCTGTGCAAGAATAAAGTGCTTGACCATTGTATGAAGTTGTTTTGAATTCAAACATGTAGTTTTCAAGTTATGCTCCGGACAAGGAAAAGTAACAAAGGGCAATAACTCTGTAATTAGTCAAGATGGATTTATAGTTCTTGTGAACTGCACTTACTCTCAATGTCCTTGATCATTGTATGAAGTTGTATTGAATTCAAACCATTAGTCTTCAAGTTATGCTCCGGACAAAGAAAGCAATGGAAAAGTAACAAAGGGCAATAACTCTGTAATTGTTATAAATAGAGTTATGGTTCTTGTGAAAAGCACTTCCTCATATTGTGATTGAACATTGTATTAAGTTGTTTTGAATATCAACCAGTAGTTTTCAAGTTATGCTTTGGACAAGGAAAAGTAATGTTCAAAGGGCAATATCTCTGTAATTAGTAAAGGTGGAGTTATGGTTCTTGTGCACTGCACCTCCTCCTAATGTGTCTTACCATTGTATGAAGTTATATTGAATTCCAACCATTAGTCTTCAAGTTATGGTCCAGACAAAAGAAAGCAATGGAAAAGTAACAAAGGGCAATAACTCTGTAATTACTTTAGATAGAGTTATGGTTCTGTGCACTGCACTTCCCCTTATTGTGCTTGACCATTGTATGAAGTTGTTTTGAATTCCAACCAGTATTTTTCAAGTTATGCTCCAGACAAGGAAAAGTAACAAAGGGCAATAACTCTGTAATTAGCGAAGATGGTGTTATGGTTTTTGTGCACTGCACTTCCTCTCTCAAGCTAAAGAATGTTTTACTGACTAAAACCATAATACTAAAAAATAAGCATTTTAGTTTCACTTTACTATCCTGTCACATGGACAAATTTAGGCCTGATGTCAACTGACAATACTTTTGAAATGGTTCAAGTCCTTTTCTATTCAGGATTATGTTTCCTAATAGATATTCATAGCGTAGTAGATCTACTGGTTAGAAAGTGGTTCAAGTTATATCAAGCCATACATTTCAATCGAGCTAAATTAACCTAAAATAAAACTTTCTGAATGCAAGCTATCGCGAAAATGTATGACAATTGAACAAACCATTACAATTTCGAATAACTTGGCCACGGAATACTTGCTACTAAATTTATACAGGTAGATTTTTTAAAAGTGCTTTCGCATGTCACATTTGGTAGATATATATTTACTTTTACATACAGGAAATAGGAAATATGGATGTAAAATGAAACGTCTGTTTGCTGACTGCTTGATTATGGCTGGCTTGATTTTTGTGCAATTAAGTAGGAATATGTTCTCTTTAAAAGGAATGTGAATACACGGTATAATACAAATCGAACGAGAGGTAAAATGGACAGTTTATGTTCATTTATTTTGCATTACAAAAGATATTTAACATTATTTGATTAACCCCAAAAACAAATCATTAATCAGTCTATCTAAATAAAGGCTGCATGATTGCCATGAACAAGTGTAAAAAATATTTTTATATGCATATTTTTCTCATATGCATAGCCTTGCCCTGGACAAAAATGACCATGTTCTTTTTCCAACCAAGGGGTTAGGATGACCAGAAATAGTTACCTATTAAATGAGAGACACCAATGAATATAGGCAATATAAAACAAGAGGGCTACGATGTCCCTCGACAATATATTGCAAGAAAATGTAACAATTTTTATTTTTCAACCATTTATGCATTTATATTTTTTCTTCAGGCCATATTATTTTTAATAAAAATAATATATTCATAAATGTCTGCTACAAAATGCTTCATGATGAATATCTAAGCTCTTGGCATTGTAATTTCACACATTACCCAAGAAAACTTAATTGTGTTTTCTACTTGGTAAGTCTAGATAAATTAAATAGTGATCACTGCATGGGGCAATAACCAATTTTGACCCCAGGGGCATGATAAAATAACTTTTATAGAGTACCACAAGGTGATGCCACATGCAAAATATCTTAACTCTGAAAAAATTGTACTTTAGAGAAGAAATTTAAAAACATCTTTATTAAACATGCCAAATATCTGAGCCTTGGGCATTGTACTGCTAGATAATAATATTTTTAAGACATTTTTACTGTATAAACTCTGTTTAAAGCAAGTAAGATCCAAATGGCTATGCTACATGCAAAATATCTAAGCTCTGTCCATTGCAGTTTTGTCAAAGAAGACTTAAAATGTATCTTCCTGCATAAACTTATATAAACTAAGTGACGCATAGGGCGAGGCCAATTTTAAACCCAGGGCATGATTTATATAAAATTTTATAGAGAATCACATCAAGGTGATGCTTTATGTAAAATATCTAGGCTCAAAGCATCATAGCACTTTCTGAAAAGATTTTTAAGACATTTTTCTGTACAAGACTTTAAACTAAGAAAATCCCATTAAGGGCAGGGCTTTTTCACCCTAAGGACATCACTTATATGACTTTTGAAGATGTATGCTAGACAATGCTTCATGCAAAATAACTAAACTCATGCATTGTACATGCAGTTTCACAAAAGAAGACTTAAATGTATTTTCCTAAATAAAATAAGTGACCCAGCAAGACAGGGCCATTTTGGCTTTAGGGGCATAATTTATATTACTTTTGTAGAGGTCCACTAGCAATGCTACATACCAAATATCAAAGCTTTTGGCATTGTAGTTTCACAAAAGAAGCCTTAAATGTATACCAGGTATGTATTTACCTGAACAATTTTTTTTTTACTAAATGACCCTCAACAATGGCCAATTTTGACCCCTGGGGCATGATTTATATGACCACAAGGTGATGGCACATGCCAAATTTAAGCTCTTGTCTTGTTTTTTCTGAGGAGGTCTTTTAAGATATTTTACTATACAAGTCTATAAAATTAAAGTTACCCCTAGAACTGGACCAAGTTTGAACCCAGGGCATGAATTATGTAACTTTTGAAGAGGTCCATTTGATAATACTACAAGTCAAATATCCAAGTTCTGGGCATCAGAGTTTCATAAAGAAGACTTAGATGTATAAATGTATTTTACAACAATTATAAGCCTATGTTAACTGACACCTAGGATCCTAAGAAGCTTTTTGTAAAGGACTACAAGGTGATAATACATGCTGAATATCTAAGCTCTGGACTTTTTATTTTTGGAGATTTTTAAAGATCTCATTTTCAAAGTTTATTTTTAGCTCCTCAGACCTACTAGTCTTGTGCATTAGACTGAAACGTTTATACAACTTTTGAAGGGGACCACCTACATTCATGTGTAGTTTGGTCAAATTACATATTATGGTTTAGGATATGTTTAAAGAAATTGTGGACAGCAATGGATGATGAATGATGGACACACCTCCATCCCAAAAGCTTACTTCTGACTTTTTAGCACTGTTGACCTTGACTTCAGTGCCCCCTTACTCTTCCTAAAACTAGAGGACAACCTAAGGTCTCTACCTACCAAATATGAAAAACATTGATTAATCAAATTCATGATGTAACAATGTAGAGTTATGGATCACCTCTCACTTGTTTTGAAGTTAAAACACTTGGACAAGCATATATATTTAACAGTTTAAAGCTTCATAAAGGCAGGTAATTTAAAACATTAGCCACATATTATAATTTCTTCAAAGTACTTTGTCTGCCTGTGGGCTTTTGTCCGGGAGTGCTTTTGTCCTACACTCGTTCGCACATCCACTGACTTTCCCTATACATCAGGCTACTAGCGTCAATCTACCAAACTCCATAAGGATTCTTACACATTATTTGTCAATTAAGCCACACCAGTCTAATCTAATCTAATATAGAATTTCAACTATACTGCTTAGAATGTTGCCGATTTTTAACTGATAATCTGGAACACAAAACATTGGGACAAGCAACTGGAGATTTGCACTACATTATCTTTTTAACAAATAAGGCATACACTATGTTTTTTTTGTCATTTTGTCAGATAGATCAGTGTGAAAAGTTTTTTTTTTCTGTAATAATGTTATAACAGAAATATAGGCCAAGTGGTATAAGATTTCCAGTATCTCTCAACGTTTAAATGGTATTTACATGATTTTAAGAAAATTTACAACAGCTGATAAACACTTAAATTTATCCATTGATCAGTTGGACATCATTATTATAAGTTATCTAGGTGGTAGTTGCTGGTCCCATAATATTTTGTCCGAGTGATAATGTATTCATTGGGAAAAGTCATCCAAACAAAAATTCATGTTTTTATCTATTTATTCATTTTTTTTTTTTTTACAAATAATAAACAATCTAGTTCATGAAAATTTATCAGGAGGACCATGATAGCCCTCCAGCAATCGCAAGAAAAATACTCAAATTTTACAAAACATAAGTAAGTAAATATATGTATTAGGTTCCAAAGAATCCATAAGAATCTTTAAGAGTAAATTTCTTGATAACACATCCATAAGTTCCAGTCAGAAAGTTGTTAAATAATATTTTTATTTCAATTGACCTTTACAAAGGCTATCTTACGCATTTTGCACACATTTGATAGAACTCCATCTAAGACACTGACACTTTGGGGTCAGACCCAGCCCCAATCATGATACATACCTGTCAACTATCAATATTTTTTTAACATTCTAACACAGATGGAGCATCCATTTTTATTATAAAAAACTTGTTTTAAAACTATTTCCAGATGAATAGAACAATCCCACTTACTATCAAGTCTCAATAAATACACTGTATTTTATACTTCATAATATTTATTAAGACTTGATGGTAAATGGGATTTGTTCAATTAACTTGGAAAATGAATCAAACAAAGTTTATGACTGAGACAGATGTCCCACATGTGTTAAAATTCCCCTTTTTCCATATTACATAGCTAACCCTGAACCTATGGTTTCGGTGAGACTTAAATATTAAGAGGATCTTAACTATTCATATGGCTGAGAAACAATTTATCTCAAATACAATAGAGTATCAAAAACATGTTTTGGCAAAGTTTAGCACTTCATGCAATGTCACAAATTTCATCCCTTCAACTTCCAGAGTAATGTCAGTTGATATCTACATGTATAATTTCTTAATCAAAACACAGTATCATTTTACAATAATGTTACAATACACATTTATAACATATAACATTATGGTGTGTAGAGAAATATGAGACTTGAGATAGTAGATACACAGACATATAATACAATTAAGACTAGCTTAAGGTCTTCAGCGTACCCGTTTATATACTATGACATGACGTGAAAGCTGAAGACAACCCCGTAGGGAAAGTCCACCAATAATCGTGCCAGGAATCTGACACGCTCGTATTCATTCATCGAACATGCCATGAAGTAAAGTGAAGCATACCTTGATAAAACTATTATATAATCTGTTGATAAGCCAAGGATGGACAAATAAATCTCTTATTACGAACATAAACTACCTAATAGTTTCAGACAGGTAAAAATTTCGGCACTTGGCCGCAATATTACCAAAATGTTTGACCACGTGATTACGAGATTGACCTTTACGAATTAAGACCTAACAGTCACTATTGGATTACCCATTTTAGCCATTTGCTATAATTTTATTCATTTAGCTAAAGACATTCTTACTTGGCTACAAGATTTCTTGTCCATGTCATGATATAAGTAAGATGGTATGAAATCAGGGTGTCATACATAATTATACGGCTAAAAGAAATTTTAAACTTGGGGCAGACCTGCCTCATTCAACAAAGGGCACTTAAATTGACATTCACATCATATTATTGTATTTGGCACAGATTATTGCATTAGTTAGATGTAACTGTGACTCCCAATCCTCGCAGAGGGGGATTAGAAGGGAACAAGGTTACAAATCACTATGCATAACTTTTTTACAGGAATGTTTTTTCCCTTCCATGTGAAGATATACAAAGTATAAAGAATATACCCATCTCTTGTTTTCTGGTTTACCTTGGCTAGTAAATGCATGATGTTATTCTTGAAATGAAGAAGAAAAATTACCATTAAAATGAAAAATCATAATAAATAGAAAGATAGAAAGAACTATTTCCGGGAATTTGAAAAAGTGATTTTACAATTTGTCTTAATTTGGCTCTGAATTTTCTAAAAAAATTTAAAGGCAATTTTATCAAATCAATAATACTAAAAATTTGGTTGAACTATAAAAGACTAGGTCATTCTTACACAAAAATGATAAATATTGCACCGGTCAATTAATCAAGTTAAATATTTCCACGCTAGAAACATAATTATGCATGTCACTACCATTCCCGTGTAGAGAATAAATTTATCTTGTGTTGTCCGTCGCTCTATGAACCTCATCACTGTGTTTGACAGCCCTAAAGTGTTTGCTATATCTAAAATTCTCTTATGAGCGTTTTTCAAAGTAAGACGTTGATCTTTTAAACTTGTCAATATACTTGAGCCATGACCTAATAAATTATCCATATCACGATTCGCATCGTTTAACTTCGTATTATGTTGTAACCCTGCGTCCATAGCGATTGTTGTGTCCGCATCATTCCTTTCAAACCTCCGTGTAAGAAGAGCTTCTCGGTCTAGATCTTCTTGCTCTCTTTGATATCTGAAATTTAAAAAAAAATATCGCATGACATTTTCTTTGACTTTTCTCGTGTTTTCAATGTCATTAAACAGGCATATAAGTATTTTTTGTTATACGGCAATTTCTAAGGTGAATTTAAATTGGTAAAATGTTGGACTCCATTCAATCTATACAGCATTCATCATTCTAAGTACTAACTTCAATATCCTAACAACTATTGTTCAAACCTAATGATCGGGGACCATCAACCGGACACTTTTTGAACATTTTTCCGTACAGATTTTAAAATTTTAAACCTAGAGATATTAAAATTTGACACAGTTCAGCTAAGTTCTTCTCCTTACAAACACACTTTTTAGCTCACCTGTCACTTTGTGACAAGGTGAGCTTTTGTGATCACTTTTCGTCCGGCGTCCGTCGTCCGTAAACTTTTACTTTAAATGACATCTCCTCATAAACCACTGAGCCAATTTCATCCAAACTTCACAGGAATGTTCCTTTGGTGGTCACCTTTGAAAATTGTTCAAAGAATTTAATTCCATGCAGAACTCTGGTTGCCATGGCAACCAAAAGAAAAAACTTTAAATGTCTTCTTCTAAAAAACCCAAAGAGCTAGAGCTTAGATATTTGGCATGAAACATCTTCTAGTAAGTGTCTACCAAGTTTGTTCAAATAAAAGCCCTGGGGTCAAAATTGGCCCCGCCCCAGGGGGTCATTGATTTTCCCTTTATGTATATAGTAAAAACTAAAAAAATCTTCTTTTAAAGAACCCAAAGAGCTAGAGCTAAGATATTTAGCATGAAACATCTTCTAATGGGTGTCTACCAAGTTTGTTCAAATAAAATCCCTGGGGTCAAAATTGGACGGACGGACGGTCGCCGGCCGGATGCCAGACGAAAAGCGATCACAAAAAATGGGGCATAACTCAGTAAAAAGTTAACTCAGATCTGTGCCCATCATCTAAGATAATCACAGACAACAAGTGTGTGAAGTTTTAACACATTCCCTTCCATAGTTTTGGAAATTCTAGCATGCGGGCAAAAAACTTAACCAAAATGGGGCAGCGAAGCAGATGCCTGAATACAAAATTTCTCTCTATTTTTGAACAAGTTCCCACCCCAAATATCAACAAATCATCACCTTAGTGCAGCAACAGGAAAACTCCCTATAAAATTCATTAGAAGTTAACTTGTTTCTGCATGAAGGTAACAAAATGCTAAACTTACCTTCTATGCTGTAGCTGTCTTAGTGCTGACTGTAAATGCTGACAGTCGTATTTTAATTGATCCGCCTTCATCTTAGCATTGCTTCTCCTTGTTGGTGGTTCCTTGTTCACCAGAATATCTAGTCTCTCACAATTACTAAGTATATGGTCAATGTGGGCTTGAATCTCATTCTCTACATGATGAACTTGTTCTCCTGAAAAACAAAAAATGCTTTTCATAAACTAAATTAAAATCTTATATTCAGTATGTTCAATATGTCAGCAGCTTTTTATAAGGCCACTTCAGCATAGGCAGAGATCAAAAATTCCACTCATACTCTCGTAATTATGAGTAGAATGTAAGAGAACTCCGTGCAGGACAAGTAGAAAAATGTTGCCTGCACATTGAATTTAGACGCTACTTGTCCTACAAGACAAGTGACTATGAAAATATTTTTCGAGGCCTGATAGGCACTTGGTTTAGGGACATAGACCCTTTTAACTAATCTGTAGTTTATATCAAACATATCCAAATGTAACAATTTTTATAAACATAAATTCTTCTTTATATTTTGTAAATTTGACAGCTACTGATTAGTTAAAAGAGTCTATATCCCTAAACCAAGTGTTTTTGCGCTAAGGCCGTGGTTCAAATAAGGGGTTTTATTGCTGAAGCCTAAAATACACCCTGACCTTTTTTTATATACTTTAAATTAAGTTTAATATAAATGTCATGATGTAAGGGTCAGTGACACCTTCCAGACTTCTGATCATTAATCTTGTCAGTCACACACAATGAAATGACTTTAGGCAATTTGTTGTAGAGTGTAAGGATATTAATCTACTTTGACAGGGTAATGACAACACTTTACGCAGTGAATGAGTAAAATGAGTGTATAGGACAACAGCTCCTCAGTGAATTTACTGTAACATTATGAATATCTTAAAGAACTGAAGGGCTTTTGTTTGCACTTTAACCAGAAGAGATGAAACAAAAGAAATTTGTAATTCATAATCATGGTGTTAATGAAAAAATAACAGGCAGTGATTTTCATACTATCACATTTGCACTTGGGAAAATAAGTACAACCAATTACGAACCTTATTTTGGGACAGGCTTAAGACAAGGCCAACCCGGTATCAATAATCAAGGGTTATTAACATTTAATGAAATACCTGAAATCGGAAAATTCAAGGGGAAAAGGTCATTAATGTATCCTCAATAAGTTAGTGCCGATGTTAAATATCTCAATCTGTAAACTCTGATTAAAATTTAATTTTTGTTCAATACACTATATACAATCATAAACTTTGAATTTTGTTTAAGTTTGAAATTAAAGTCAAAAGCATACTTTCATGTACATAATGAACAATGTGAATTTGCATTGTTAAAAGAGATAAGTATTATAGTAATGAGTAAAGTTGCCAATGTGGAACTTAACTGAAAAACATCATTGTGGATGTTTATATGTTGAGTGGCTTGTTTCAGCACAATTATATTATGTTAACATTTTACTTTTCAAAAACAACATCATTTTCAGGTTTTTATTTTATCGCACACCATTTAGTGATTTACTAACACATTTAACATGCACTATTCCTGCCTATTATACTCACAAAGGGGTTGGCAGTTGTCAGAAATAGATAGATTTTACTTCAAAACATCAGTTATAACAACCATCTGTAAAGTCCGTGACACATTCTGTCTATGGGGAAAGTCTTTTTTTTTTCAGGCCACAAGGACCAGTACCCTTAAGTTTATTTCCAACCCAGATGAATTTTTTTCTGGCCGTGTCATTCTGATGAATATGATGAATAAGGGGTGATGGAAGGTCAGAGTTTGAACAGAGAAAAAGCTTATTCAGGAAAATGGTAATATGTTCCAAATGGAAAACACTGTACCTTAAAAAAGTAATTGAAAAGATTTGAATATAATACATGTGTAATATCTAAAACCCATCATCATCATCAGATCGTTATGCCATTTTCTTCCTGATTCGCTCAACCCCCTCTTCCCCCCCCTAAAAAATATTCATTGTACATTAGTATGTGACATTTTAACAATATCTTTAGTAATCTTAATTCATAAACTATGTTTTAAGTACTTATGATATTACACACATTTTAACAAAATATAATTTTCTTTTTAATTATAAAAAGCGCCATCGCGAAAATATGTGATGATTGAATTTTGTCTGTTTCCAACAGAAACATTCGCAATTCTAGTTGTTGTTGATTTTGATTATATTAGATAACATATTTTTATTATTACTTCCAGATTATTATTCATTGTCTATTTCAACAGGCATCGTAAAACAATTTTCCAATTTGTAATTTACAGCAAAATTTACCATTGTTTATGAAACTTTTTGAAGACAAAGTTTCAGGCTTTTCATTATGAATCGACTGGCGATCCAAATCATTGGTTAAAATCAGTTGTATTTACAGTCTGTATATTGAAGTATCACCCTTGACCCTTTGCAAAATTGGTTGTTTTCTTTGGAGCATCTGTTGCCTCAGAATCACTCAGATAAAAATGAAAACCCCGAGTTTACAGGTGTTTATTTGACATGTACAAAATAGATCTAAGGTTGGACGGTCATTATCTTCTTTAACTAATTTCTTTGTGTCAACAAGAACTTATTATCAAACAGGTCAATGATTTTTTTAACTTCTTGAAATTTTATTAGGACACAAGGACTGAGGGAAAGGGAAATTTATGTCAGACCGCATGATTTTAATTCAGCCAGGACCGACGGACTTTCGCACAGAGTGCTAACATACAAACTATGCATGAACCCTAGTCCAACTAGACTTGTCTAAGAGATAATTTTGCATGGACAATGTCTTTTTCCACGATTTGACAGAAGAATAAAAAACGTTTCACACCAAATTACAATGTAATTAGACTTGCCTGAACCCATATGACGTAAAAGGTTGAAAGTGGTTTCGTCAAGCTACTGGGAATATCTTATATAATAAAACAGGTTAACATTCCGGTGAAATTAATTTATAGTGTAAAAATATCTACTGTTTACTGGGCACCTCAATTACATCTACATCTACATGTTACTCCCGAACAATCAATTCTGACTATGACTGGGAGGCGCATGTCAGGAAAACAATTATGGAAGGTGTTAACTTAATTTGTCGTTTTTCATGGATTTTCATTTCACACTGTTAGTGTTAAAGTAACACACATGGTCACACTTCTGCATTTATCAGTTAAAGTAATTGACTTGAATCATGTGTTGAAATGTTTAAACGTAGCTTTATGAATATACTGATCAATTGACAAGATGTTATTACGGAATTTCTGTTTCATATAGCACACCCCACCCACATGAACAAACTATGTTTACAATTTTTTAAAATAAAACCTGTAGCTCTTTCATATTTTCCAAGATCACTTTGAACTTCTTGTATAAGTCTGTATGTCTGATGGTACAAAGTCTCCATTTCTCTTCATTCAAAGTAGTTTTTAAATCTTTCCACCTTGACTTTACACTGATATTCTACAAAATCTGGACGAAACTGACGTGTCAAACTCCACTTCCGGTCAAAATGAAAGTAGAACGCAGTTACGAGGTGACTTAATTAAATCATTATTTTTATATATATATATTTTTTAAATTCCCACTGATCTTGTACATTGTTATCTTTTTAGTTATGTTTTCATCTGGCTATGATATATTTATTAACTTTTTAAAAGAAAATAATGATGTCTTTTATGCAATCAAATCTTAACATTGTCGATATTTGTTTACATTGACATCAAAATGGCGGACTACCATTAAATTGGAATAGGTTAGATGTTTTTACTGTCCAAAAATCATTCTATCTGTGTGAAAGTTATTTGATTTGTTTATTTAAAAATACAACTTGTGTATAAATGACTGTGATGCAGTTGTAATTTACCTGAGCAGGAATATTTGGACCGATATATTCCTACTTTTAAGGCTATCCACAGATCCAGTATAAACATCTTATCCAGTTTTCCCATGTATCCTACATGTCATCTTGTCATATCATATCCTGACCTATCCTATCCTTTTCTATACCCTATCCCTTTCTATATCCTATTCTATATCCCATCCCATTGACTTGACACCTTGTAACACAGAGGCTTCTTCCCAAAGCAAATTTTCTTGATAAGCATATCCCGGGACAACCAATATTCAATCAGTTAAGCCCTTTTTAGCCAATAATAATTGGAAGGGGAAATTATACTTTAAATTTATTTTAGCTATTAATGCATCTATCAACACTTATTCATTTTCAGGTTGGTACATTTTCAACAAGTCTTGATCTTTCCTAGAAATTCAATAAAAACAATATGACCCACTCGGGTCACTCCCAGGAATATTTTTACCTAAATTCAAACAGCATGGTAATCACCATGGAAAAATTGTTCAAGATAAATCAGGGCCACTTAAAATTGTAGAAAATTTCACAACAGTCTATTCAACAATTTTCAACAGCTTTTTTTAAGATTTTAAAAAACTTACACTAAATGTTGTAACAGATGTACAGTACAATGCATTGGTATGACTACTGCTAATGTGTATAAAAAGGCAGTTAAAGGTGTCACTTCTTAGTACGCTATTTGGGGTGCAAAATGATAAATGCATTCAATCATTACAGCCATTTTACCTTCCCCACTTTATAATATAAGCAAATATGGAAACTTGTCTAGATCTGCCAGCCGGTATCGCTTACAAAACAATTATTCTAAAATCATCACATAAAAATATTTGATAACAATATAGGATTTTATTAATAAGGACCCCCATGTAAAGTCTGATGAATATTTAGTGGTACATCATATGAATAAATGTTTTAAATATACCTAGGACTGAGGTAAATGGTAAAACTGTTTAGCCAATACTTTATAAAAAAAAATAACTTGCTTGGAAATAATGTTACCACTATTTTAAACAAGTGATTATTTTGATATAGTTAAAGTTGGACAATTTATATTATGTCACTTATAACTAACAGTTTCTTATTGTTTTTCTGATAACATCTGAAAAATAATCAAGCGTGGCATTTCTACAAGTTTAAAATATAATATAACATGTAACTTTATGCAATTTAGTCAGACATGACATCAGTGCCACAGAATTAAGGATGTGTTTGAATTTAGGTTGTGATTGAAAATTGGTTGTTTCGGGATACATGTAGGCCTACTGTACAGTTTCCCAAAATCTGAAATGTCACCAGATTTTTTACCTCCCAAATTAGCAATTTTAGCGATAATTCTTCCCAAAATCAAAAGGGGCCTCTACTGGTCAGGGAACATCAACCGGACACTTTTTGAACATTTTTTCATAAAGATTTTATAATTTCAAATCTAGAGACCTGATAAGTTGACACAGTACAGCTAGGTTCTTCTCCTAACTAACAAACTAGTTTGTTTATGTCTGATTATATTCACACTTATATCTGAGGCTCGTCAAGGAGGGTATCAAAATTACCTAAATTGTCTACACTACAGTACCATATGTCCGGACAGATATGTACATGATGTGATTTAATTCATTTAAATGCTAGGGTGTTTTAATTTTTTTTATTTTAAATATGATATACAATATTTCAGCAGCAAATGCTGACATTTTGGATATTCTATTGTTTACTCTGCAAATGATTATAGCTGGTTTATGAGGTCAGGTATTGCACCGATCTTACCCCCCAAATTTTCAGTGTCAACATTCTTGAAATAGACATTGAAATATTACCATTGAAATAAATTTGATTACTTAATTATACAGGAAACATGCATTTATTGTTGTTATTAAGTGACTGATCGATCAATGACCAATGAACAAAGAAAATATTTTAATTAAGCATTTTCGGGGCCGTCCGGGTTTGGTGGTTGTCCGGTTTTGATGGTCCCCAACCAGTACCCAAAAGTGTGAAAAACCACTGTTTCCTATATATCTTATCCATATATATACTTTGTCCTATAATTAAATCCCATATCCTATATATAGCCTATATCCTTTATTCCTATATCCTAATCTATATATCCTATCATATACATATATCCCATCCAATCATATCTTATTTAACCTATCCTATATAGCCATTATAGGCAATCTCCTGGCCCCGTGTTCACTAAGAAAAGATCAGGATCAAGTGATCCTGATTTTATTTTCATTGTTTTAAAATTGTCACTAAAATTAATTTGTGTTTTAATAAAATGGTAAATATTCAAAATGTAATAAATTTTGAGATAAAATCAACAAATAACAAAACAAATACAAAGAAGATATTTGGATCAAAATATTATTATCTTAGGATCAATTTTAGGATCAGGATCAATATTTGGATCAACTGTAAAATGCCCATATCATACAAAAATAACAATAAATTTATTCTAAAATTTCATATATTGCAAGTCCAGTTTAATCAAATTAATATTTGATATCTAATCTATAAGGGTAAACAATAAAGAATATTAAAGTTTTTAAATTTGGTCCTGATCTTGATCCTGATCCTTAAATCTTTATGAACACGGGGCCTGGATTAGACCCAATGTATTTTTCAAGAGCAAAACTTGTATATAATAGACTAATAATGAAATGGAATGAATCTTATACTGGAAAGTAACTGGATATTCCAGGATATACCCCCATAATATCCTATCTATACATCATGTACATGTCTATTTCCTGTTCTATACATCATATCCTATATACATGTATTATCATACTCTAAATTATTTTTTTGTCAAACTGATTACTGTCATTAATTAACCATTTGAGTAAGTTGTTCAGTTATAGATGTTAACTGAAGTCTGATGTGTATTATTATTGTGACAGGCAGCCTGGGGTTTCAGACAAACAGTAGTCTATGAGTAAAATGTTCTATCAAAATGAAATTATTAGATAATAGATTTACATTTAAGAATCTGCTTTCTTGATGATCATGTTGTTATAATTTTTACCGAATTCATCCATCTCAGAAAACAGTAATGGCATCAGAAAAGTCAAGTACTACAATTTACATTGGGAATCTTACAACAAAATCTCGATTAATTGAACTGAAGGCCAGTCTTCTTAAGCTGCTGCAGAAAAGTCTAAAAATACATGTGACCTCAAATGACATCAGCATTATAAATGGTACAAAGAGATACGCGCTTGTTGATGTTCACAATGAACAAAATGTTGATTATCTGTTAGAAACTTTATCTGATGGCGAGGATAGAAAAAAGATAAAATTTAATTTTGATCAGATAGTTGAACCAGGAAATTGGTTATATGTTGACAAAGTAAAATCCAACGACGACAAACAAGCAAGAGATGATTTTGAAAATGCTAAGAATCCGAAACCATTTCAAAAACCACATCTTCATACAAGAAAACGTCCTGAATATGATGTTGTAGTTCCGTTAAGACCGACAACCAATTCTAAATCTTATAGGGCAGGATCAAGACTCAGCAGTAGTTCATTAAAAAGTCAGAGTCGTTTAACCCCAAAATCGCTCCCTTCAACTGACTTAGACGTTACTTTACCGGAATCTCACAGTCACTCAGGTGCACACAAAGAGCCTCAGTCCAGTGCACATGAGGAATCAGGGGAAGTAATGCATAAAAGGATTGATATGATACCTCTGGCGGATTCAACATTGAAGGTTTGTCATAAATGTTCACTGTCCAAATTTTATTATCAAGTTTGTATACTTTTCAGTTCTTGAAGAGACTCTTCTTCTATTCCACCCCCCACCCCCACAAATTTAATCCTAAATTTACATGTTTCATCCACCTTTAATTTCCCATCGCATACATTGTAAAGTTGCAACTCAATTGGATACATTTGATAGCATATTATAAATTAATGTTTATCTTGCTGACAAATATATATGTATACTTAAGCTGCAAAATATTCCAATCATTTTAAAAAAGAAATGTTTTTTTTTTTTTTTTTTTGGGGGGTATGGGGGACTTTTTTACCTACTAATTATAATTCCATTATTAGGCTTCTTATTTTGAATGAATAAGTAAAGAACCTGTAAGCAATTTGAGTTTCTTATCATTTGAAGTTTTATCATTTATATTTTAATTTATGTTCAGACACACGAAGACTCAGACGATTCAGGAACACAAATGGATTCTGTACATAACCAAACACTTTCATCAATACATGGAGATGGTGATGATTATGAAACTTCACCTCATCATTCTGATTACGAGGATCCTCCAGGTTCTGTCATAGATATGAGGCACAGCAGCAGGTCATCTATTCAAGGGAAGATAACTCCAAGGATACACAGACGAACAGGTGTGTTAAAAAATTGCCCCTCTGACTTGCACTGGTCATAATATAAGTGAAGGAGTTTTTTTCTATCAAAACTCAAGTTTAGCTGAAAGGCTGGCCTGGCTAGCTGTGTAGTGGTTTCATAGAGGACTCATAGCCGTTCATAGTTGTCTGTGTAATTATCATAATAAGGAAGAGTTGCTTACTTACAAGTCAACTCAAATGAGCAACCAGAGATGGAGTTATTGTAGCAGGATTCTCTCTCAATGTACCTGTATGGTATACCCGTAGGAGGGGGAATTTTGATGCTTTTCCCCTTGTAGGCAATTTTTGCTGTGTATTTAGTAGAGTGATTAAATTTAATAATTTAACTCATGTTAATAAATGCATATTTTACAAAAGCAAATTTTAATAGGGTATTGTTTAGAGTTTCTTACCTTGGGTTTTGGCAGATAGAGGCAGATAATTTTTTTTAAAAAGTTTGGGTTTTCTTATATAAAAAAGGAATAGGGGGGAACATATATTTTTGTAGGTAAGAAATATATTCTTTTTGTAGGTAAGAGTGGTACCAAATTTCGTCTCCAAATATCATGAATTGAGGGCCCTATTTGAAATTCATGTATTGAGAGCCCTGGTTTGCACTTTGTGAATTGAGGATCCTGGTTTGAACTTCATGAATTGAGGATCCTGGTTTAAACTATGTAAATTGAGGATCCTGGTTTAAACTATGTAAATTGAGGATCCTGGTTTAAACTTCGTAAATTGAGTGCTTTGGTTTGAACAGTTATGTGATTAAATTAACACTTTCATCAATTGTGTACTCATGTTGTATATTCTTGATATTAAAGCAAGAGTAAATAAGTCCTCAGCTAGTAGGAGAGATTTTTTTGATTTTCTGGATAGACAAGTTGGTAAATATATGCACAAAAAAACAAACAACACTTTCTTCTGACAAAACACTAATTGGTTTCAACAGAAATACTTGTTTTGAAAAAGCACATTGTTGTCTGTGGTGATACTTGAAGCATGTGATTTTTTTTAGATTATACAAATATATTTTAGTGTGATTGTGTTGGAAGCTGTAAGCTTATTGAAACACTCTTAAATTCGTTCCTGGAAGCAACTGGTTCTAAGCAATGAATGTAAAGTTTCTTGCTTAAGGAAACAATGGCTTGCTCCTGACTGGGTCCAAACCCATAGGGCCAGCAATCCTTAGATTACTAACCTGACATGTTAACTACTCTGCCCATGTGCCACTTGAATGTAATGTAATGTTTGTGTTCTAGTCAGAAAATAAAATGTTATGTCTTGAATATTATTTGAAAAGTGTTGAGTGATTTCAAGCAACAAAAAGCTATTTCATTAAACACTATTAATTAAACTCATGTCTATGATAGAATAAGCACAAATTTATCATTTTGCAGTTTTAGCTATTAGACTTTTAAAAGAAATAATTGCCATATTTATCCATTGAAAAATTATTTTCAGTTTAGTGCACTCTATAAATGTATGTTTTTATGCAGCCTTAGTTATGTTATATGCAATATTGCTCTGCCCTGAAGAAATGATTAGTATATCTAAAAGATTTTGTATAAAAATAATATGTTTGACATTGAATTTGAGCTTTTCGCAGTTCTCCACCCTTACCATGCTAAATTTCTCAAAAAGACTTGTCCATCTTTCAATCTGGACAAAACCATTAATAGTTTTTGGAGAAAATGTAAAAAAACAACAACAATTAGTGACTGAATAGCAAACAGTGCAGACCATTTTCAGACAACAACACTGTGAGGCTGATCTTGGTATTCACAGGTCACATGGGTAGGATATGTTTCCAATAGTAGCCAAAGGGTTAAGTCAATTTGTTAAATAAGGTCAAAGGTTCAAGCACCAGACACACAATATTAACAATATCTTTTTTTTAATGAAATAAACACAAGTTGTTGCTTACTTATGAAATCAATATTGATTGAGAAATAATATAAAATTTGTAATAAGATTATCAGGCTAAGGTTTAATAAGATGATACTTTGTGTAACATTTGTGCCAATATAAGTGTAAATGGTGAGTGTACAGGTACAAGTAACGTTACATTTTGCCATAATTGTTTTTATAATTTGATTTTCAAAATTAATCAATAACTCAAATGTTCTGGAAATTTCTAGAAATAATCATTCATATTTTACTGGTAACATTTAAATAGTAAAAACAGCTAGTACGTGTGACAGTCTTTTTATATTTTAGAAGTTGTAATATATTGTCATTATCAAATATTTGGTCAATCACCATGAATATAGTGAATTTTTTTTAATTATATACCTATTTCAATACACCTCTGACAATGAAAAAAAATGAGCATTATGTCACTTCAGAGAAAAGTTTCACACATTGCACTTTTCAGGGAGTTAACTAGCAGTGTGCTGCAGGTTTGAAGGGTTTTGCACGTTACCAGGGTAACTGTAGCACAGAAATGATGTTAGTGTGTGTGTGTGTGTTTGCATCTTTCTTACGTACACACAGTTGTCCTGGTGGGTGAAGGTGAGTATTACTTATCAGATAATAAAGAAAAAGTTGATTTTATTGGGTTATTGTTTAAGAGGTTTTTCAGTTGATTGGGGCTCTACATGTAATAAATGATCACTTTTTTTATAGAAAATTAACATCATAAATATGCACGCTTAACTCTCATAGCCTACACGAATGCAGTAGACTACATGAATACAAAATATTAACTGTGTAAATGGTCCATGGTTTACTGGATAGATAATAAATAAATATTGGAAAAAGTTAATTAATTAAAATAAATGAAAATGAATGAAAAAAAAAAATATTTACATGTACTTAAATATTAATTATTTATAAATAAATTAATTAAAATTTTTTTTTAATTTTTATTTTTTTAATTTAAAAAAAATTTTTAAGGGTTAATTTTTTAAAAAAAATATAAAAAATTAAAAATTTTTGTCCAGAAACACCTACACTGACAATGATGTGACACTAAAAGCTGAGGCTGGGCCAAACGAAGATGAAGGAACACCTTACTATAGAGTAAGCAGAATTGATACGGTTTTTAACTTAACTATGAGAAGATTATGGAGAGGAATTGTACTCACCCCAGCATCAGTGTTGGCATTGCCGTCACAGTTTGGTTAAGTATTTGTGCACTAGTTGGTATCTCAAATAGTACTGAAGGGAACGGGTTGAAACTTCACACACTTGTTCTCTGTGTGTATATAGCAAGATGGAAATAGGTCACATAACTCTGGTTACCTTTTTTACAGAGTTATGCCCCTTTTTCTTACTGTCGAGCACTGCCCCTTTTACTTTGAAAATAATATGAAATTTTCAGTTTCCGTTCATTATCTTCCCAACGGTACAACACATACAACTCAAACTTGACATATGGATATGTCATGAGAAAATACAGGTCAAGTTCAAATTTGGTCATGGTTCGATGATTTTTGGCAGAGTTATGCCCCTTTTACTTTGAAAATAATATGAAAATTTCAGTTTCCGTTCATTAACTCCCCAATGGTACAACACATTCAACTCAAACTTGACATATGGATTTGTCAAAGGAATGTGCAGATCAAGTTTAAATTTGGTCATGGTTCGATGATTTTTGGCAGAGTTATTTATACTTTGAAAATAATATGAAATTTTCAGTTTCCGTTCATTATCTCCCCAACGGTACAACACATTCAACTTAAACTTGACATATGGATATGTCATGAGAAAATACAGGTCAAGTTCAAATTTGGTCATGGTTCGATGATTTTTGGCAGAGTTATGCCCCTTTTACTTTGAAAATAATATGAAAATTTCAGTTTCCGTTCATTAACTCCCCAATGGTACAACACATTCAACTCAAACTTGACATATGGATACGTCAAAGGAATGCGCAGGTCAAGTTCAAATTTGGTCATGGTTTGATGATTTTTGGCAGAGTTATGCCCCTTTCACTTTGAAAATAATATGAAATTTTCAGTTTCCGTTCATTATCTCCCCAATGGTACAACACATTCAACTCAAACTTGACTTATGGATATGTCATGAGAAAATACATGCCAAGTACGAATTTTGGTCATGGTTCGATGATTTTTGGCAGAGTAATGCCCCTTTTACTTTGAAAATAATATGAAATTTTCAGTTTCTGTTTATTATCTCCCCAACGGTATTACACATTCAACTCAAATTTTACATATGGATATGTCAAAGGAATGCACAGGTCAAGTTCAAATTTGGTCATGGTTTGATGATTTTTGGCAGAGTAATGCCCATTTCACTTTAAAAATAATATGAAATTTTCAGTTTCCGTTTATTATCTCACCAACAGTATTACACATTCAACTCAAATTTGACATATGGATATATTTTTGGAATGCGCAGGCCAAGTTCGAATTTGGTCATGGTTCAATGATTTTTAGCAGAGTAATGCCCCTTTCACTTTGAAAATAATATGAAATTTACAGTTTCTGTTCATTATCAACCCAACAAAGTTACATATTCAACTCAAAATTGACATATGGATATGTCAAAGGAATGCGCAGGTCAAGTTGGAATTTGGTCATGGTTCGATGATTTTTTGGCAGAGTTATGTCCCTTTCACTTTGAAAATGATATAGATACATCTTAGGAATAAGCAGTTTAAGTTGGAATTTGGTCGTTGTTCAATGATTTTGGACAAACTTATCTTTCCTGAATGTTGGAAACATTTTGAACTTTCAGTTTCAGCACTCATACTTTTGTTGAAATGTATATAGCCATTATTTTGGCTACAAATATGCAATATGCTATTTTCAAAAGGTTAAGACTGAATAATTTCAGTGCCTTGAACATTGTATAAAAATGGTTTGTGTTAACATTGAAAAGTTTTAAGGGCTTTGAACATAGAATGAAAAAAATAATTTGTGCAAACAAATTTGGAACTAAATATTATAACATTTGAAATTTTGGCTGCATGCTGGGGCATCCGTGGCATGATGACACATTTCTAGTTTTTCATTTTTTATACATTGTTGAATAATTCAAAAGACAATATGAAAAAAGTTAGTATATAATCATTCTAAAATTATGCAGATCTTACAAAGTAGGCAGTGAAAGTGAAGCGTTAAAAGTTTTATTTAAAAACCACCATTTTACAGCATCATTTTGAAATCATTTCATTTGGTTTGTTTATCTTCCATGAAAGTTTTAATTTATAGATTTTTGTATGGGTTTTTTGTTTTTTTAGACTTTGACAAAATTATTTGGTACATTGGGTTTTCTTATATACATTTCTTGCAGCCAGGGGAAGTGGTAATTAACACTGATTACAGTAAGGAATTTAAATCGTACCTGGATGGAAGATATACATTAAAGCAGATAAGGGATCATGTAGCCAGGTGTATATGTGCTTTCCTAAATACAGGCAAGAAAGGCATGCTTCTCATAGGTGTTGACTCTAGAGGTAATTTATTACATTAACATTTTGCAATCATGGAAAGCATTATTTTACATGATGGCTCCATACAGTATTTCCTGTAAAATTATATGACCACATTGCCTATGAGTGCTTATAATGGTATTTCATATGAGCTTAATGTAATATTTCCCATGAGAGCTTATACCATATTTCTTATGAGAACTTATTACTGTATTTCCTATGAGACCTTAATACTGTATTTGCTATGAGAGTTTATCACCATATTTCCTTTGAGAGCTTATTACTGTTTTTCGTATGATATCTTAATACATTATTTCCCATGAGAGCTTATTGCCATATATCCTATGAGACCTTAATACTATATTTCTCTTAATACTATATTTCTCATGAGAGCTTATTACCTTATGTCCTATGAGACCTTATTACAGTACATGGGAGCTCAGTATTCTGTTTCCTATGAGGGCAGAGCATATTTCCAATGACAAGTAAATACCGTATTTCCTGTGAGAAAGTGTGTCATATTTCCTTTGAGAGTTAAACCTCATATTTATTGCGAAAGCTGAATAACGTATTTTGATACAAATAACACATATTTTATGGTTTTAAGTCTCGAGAAAAACAGACACACCAACTTTATAATTCAAATACAATTACCACAAGTGCAGTAATGAGTTAACTCCTTATAAGATTTAATAAGAGTTAATATGTTACTGCACTAAGGTGATGATGTGTAATAGGAAGAGGTATTGTTCAAACCTTTTGTGTCTGCATGTGTTTTTGCTGTGATTTTATGGTTGGATATTTTAACAGTATATTTCACAGGATATAGCTTTTCACACTTCAAATTTAAATGATGATAAATGTAAAAGCAAATTTTGCCTGAGATTACTTAAGTTTCTGTGTTCGAATTAACTACCGAATTGCAGGTACTCTGTTATGAATTTTAATATATAGTATTTTTGATGCAAGAGAAAGAAATTTTACAGGCAATGGACTCAAATTTGTCAAAGACTTTTAAATGGCATAGAAGTCTGAAAGGTTGTTTAACCAGTGCATTACCATAGATGTACTTAGCAGGAAAGGTTATAGATGTATATTTTTTATATAAAAAATTATTAAAAAATATCAGTCTTTTAAAAAATGTATACTGTTGTCAGGGAGAGTTGTTGGTATAGAATGCAATGCTCAGCAAGAAGCCAGGTACCTTCAACATTTCCTGGATGCCGTAAAAGATATTTACCCGCCAGTGTTTGGAGAAGAATATTCTTTTCATTTCTCACCATTGCTTGAGGATAATGGACGACAACATCGTGAGTATTTTATTGTTAGCCTTCATATATGGCTAACTGTTATAGTTAAGGTGTTGGCATTGCTGTCACATAATTTAATTTTTGCATGTAAGTTGGTATCTCCAAAACTACTGAAGGGAATGTGTTGAAACTTTACACATTTGTTCTCTGTGATTATCTAATATAATGGGCACAGGTGCTATAACTCTGAGGTAACTTTTTACAGAGATATGCCCATTTTCTTACCATCAACTACTGAGAATAGTCGAGTGCTCTGACTTATGGACAGCTCTTGTTTGACATGGACTTTAGATAACCAAGAAGATAAATACATTAAGATTGGTTTACAGAGAAACAAAACATACCAAACTTAATATTTTTGCATGGTAAACGATATTTGTTGTTGAAACAGAAGTTTTGTCTTTGTGGCTGTATGAACATACATGATATGAAATATAGTAGATAATAGCTAAAGATGAATTTTGTTCTGTTAATAGAAATGTAACATTTCCTATTACAGCTAGCTTGAAAGTGATTGAAGTGAGAGTATTTCCACCCAATAGCCCCGACGTCCTGTATGAATGTAAAGAGGGCGTTTTTGTTCGCCGTAATGGCGTGCTGACTGGACCAATACGACCAAGTCATATACAAGAATGGATAAAACAGGTAAATAGGATACCAGCTTTTCAGTGACTTTCATGTTTTATTAAAGGGAATTAGTCTGTCTCAAAGATGTTCTCTGTATCATTTTTGGCTCGCCAGATTGAGCAGTGTTGATCGCTTCATAATTGTTGTCATCGTTGATGTTGTCGTAATGCAAAAGCTTATAAAATCAATTTAAAAATTATCATAATGAAAATTGAAACACTTGCTTATTCTGACAAGGTCAAAAGTGTTGTTTTTTTATCAGAGGAGCATTAACACTTGTTATGCTCTTGTTTCAGAAACATTTTGCTGAGTTGGATGACATGCGTTCAGCGGAAGATTTCCTGAAAGATGAACTTAACAAGAAAGATGAGACAATACGTCAACAAGGGGACACAATTCGATCACAGAGGAGCGAGATTGAGAGACAGCGTCATGTTATTGAATCTAAAGGCTGTAATATTTTATAGTGCTTTAAAATCTAAATTAATAATATACATATATGCTAATGCCACTTCCTTTGTTTTGTTTGTATCTATTTGTATGTGTAATAAAAGGTCGCTGAAGAAGGCTGAACGACCAAAGTGTACGGCAAACTGAAAAAAAGCTTTTTTAATAATAAATATAGTAAACAAGACTTCTTTGAAGCGCGTAACTAAATACTCAAGAGAAATTATACCAGTAAAACAGATAGCTTTCTTGTGTGTGAGATTTTTTTCTTCTTGAGTGTAAGAAAAGAATAGATTAATGATAAAATGTAATAGATAACCATAATTGCAAAATGAAACTATTGTGTTGTAATGCTTAATTTTTTACCATGCATGTTTACTTTGACTGTATTGTTGTTTATTTTCCTGTGACTGTTTATACTGCATGATAAGATAGTTCTTTAAATGTTAGTTGAAAAACTTTGAAGTCACATTTAAAACCCAGATATTTGATTTTCCTCCTCCCAAATATAATTTTCTACAAGGTTTTTGCTTCATACCTGTTACTTTCTCGACTTTTATTATGTGATATTTGAATATAAGAGTAGTTTGATGTAGAAATTCTTTCCTTAGTTTCATATGTATAAGTACCATATATGGCTAAGTTTATGATGCTAATATTTATAACAAGGGGTGGTTTCAGGTTTTAATTTCTTCTTAGTTATTTTCAAAAGAAGGTTGAATTGACTTTAGATTGTTTGAATGGTTTCCACTGTGGATACAAAGTAGTTTTTACATACCTGTACAAATCAGATTAAAGCTGTTACAAATACAAATATAGTGAATATGAAGTGTGTCTGCTTAGCTCAATAGGTAAAGAATCCAGGGGTCCCTGGTTCAATCGTTAGTTAAGGCATAATTTCTCTGTGACATTTGATCTTTGATATCGAGTCCATTGGTCAATTGTAAGTCACACCTGATTTCAGAAATCATATGGCATTTATTAGTCAGGCACTAGCTGAGAAATTGGTAATAACTGGTTAGTTGTCCAGGAAATGCCAAGATATCTCCAAAATACTCAAGAAAACAAACAAATTAACAAACATAAATATGTTTATATGCAAATTATCATTATATTGTTGATAGTGGAAGAATATAGTGTAATGGTGTGTAAATATTATGAATATAAGTTTGTTAATCCTTCACCTGTCAAATTTGTATAATGAACTTTCCTTGCTTTGACTTTGGAATAGTTCATGCAAGGTATTAGGGATTTAAGTATCAGAGTACAAAAAAATTGCCAATAGTAGTTTATACAAATTTATTTTAGTTTGATTATGTTGGAAGCTATAAGCTTATTGAAACACTCTCGAATCCGTTCCTGGAACCAACCAGTACTAAGCAGTGAATGTAAAGTTTCTTGCACAAGGAAACAATGGGTTGCCCTTGGCAGGATTTGAACCCACGCGGTCAGCAATCCTTAGATTACTAGTCCGATGCGTTAACCACTCTGCCACGCCACATTTTAAACCAATGATACTATAATCATTTCTGCTGCCAATAGTATAGAGTCTGGTCTGACTACATGAATGTGCGGGCTGGCCTGGCTCTGTACTGATGGCAAAGACCAGTCATTTTTGGTTCCAGCAGGTTAAGTGTTAAAGTTCCCATTAGACTGATTTTAGATGCATAATTTTGTAGAATCTGTGATAACAAACGCTGATAATGACGGCTGTAACAATGTTGTTTAAAATGAAAGGGGACATTTAATGGGATAATTCCTGGCATTGGGGCAGACAGGCTTCAACAGCAGCATTTAGTTTTGTCAGGAGCATGTTTACTACATGCATGGACAAGTTTAAATATTTCTTGACAGTTGATACAGATGTCCACCACCATGAGATGTTGTGTCTTGCCCTGAACATGGCCTGTTGTTTAAAGGTCATGGTCACTTAATAGAGGCTAAAGGAAAACACTTATCTTGAGCGAAGCATCTACATGCATTTACAGAGATTTTTAATTTTAATATAACTAAACACAAATGTTCACCGTTTTGAGGCAGGCCAAAGTTCAGGTTCCTGTGGCCAAGGTAAATGTAATTCTCAAAGGTCCTAAGTTCAGATAAAATTATGACAATTAATGTATGGACAATTTGGTAGTCTGAAAATGAGAGATTACAACAAAAAAAGTTTACAATTATGAGACTGGGTCTTGCCAGCATTAATCAATAAGTCAGTATGTGCAAGGTCAAAGTCACCAGAGATGATGAAATGTTCATAATATATCAAGAGCACATATATTTTACATGCATAGATAATTGTTAGTACTACCTGAAACAATGTCATATGTTCACCAATATGAGATATAGTGTCAAGCACATGAGCCTGGTCTCTAGGCCAAAGTAACATTAGAAGTCGAAGTAAAATGTTTTTGACATTGCACAAATGTTCACCATTTTGAGACAGTGTGTGATGTGCAAAATTCAGGTTTTTTAGGCCAAGATCAAGGTCACATGCAAAGGTCCACGGCCAGATAGGGAAATGAAATATGAATATTGAGAATTCTGTTGGTTTAAAGTTGTCAATTCAGTCTGTCATTGTCCATCTGTCAACAACTTTAAACAGAGCTAGAATATTAAAATCTTTGTACTGGATATAACATACTGGATGCAATGCAGATATGACATTAAACCAAAGATGTTAACTTTCAAAGTCAGTTTTTAGCTCGACTATACGAAGTATATGGAGAGCTGTCCTACTCGCCCCGACGTAGATTAAAGTTTTGGTGCAGTAAAATATTTTTCACTATAACTTTGTCATTTCTTAAGGTATCAACTTCAAACTTCAAATATATGTTCCTTATCATCAACCACATCTTATGTGACAAGGTTCATAACTCTAGCACCAATATTTTCAGATTTATCTCCCCTTGAACTGAGAATTTTCCTTAAAAAATACTATTTTTAGCTCGACTATTCGATAAGAATAAGTAGAGCTATTGCAGTCACCCGAGCGTTGGCGTCGGCGTCGGCGTAACCACTTATGTTAAAGTTTTTGTAATAGTTCAAATATTTTCAAAGTCCATTGACATATGGCTTTGAAACTTTGCACACTTGTTCACCATCGTGACGCCAACCTGTAGACAGGAGGAGGAAACTCTATCAAGCATTTTGACAGAATTATGCCCCTTTTTCGACTTAGAATTTACGTTAAAGTTTTTGTAATAGTTCAAATATTTTCAAAGTCCATAGACATATGGCTTTGAAACTTTGCACACTTGTTCACCATCATGACCCCAACCTGTAGACAGGAGGAGGTAACTCTATCAAGCATTTTGACAGAATTATGCCCCTTTTTCGACTTAGAATTTACGTTAAAGTTTTTGTAATAGTTCAAATATTTTCAAAGTCCATTGACATATGGCTTTGAAACTTTGCACACTTGTTCACCATCATGACCCCAACCTGTAGACAAGAGGAGGTAACTCTATCAAGCATTTTGACAGAATTATGCCCCTTTTTCGACTTAGAATTTACGTTAAAGTTTTTGTAATAGTTCAAATATTTTCAAAGTCCATTGACATATGGCTTTTGAAACTTTGCACACTTGTTCACCATCATGACCCCAACCTGTAGACAAGAGGAGGTAACTCTATCAAGCATTTTGACAGAATTATGCCCCTTTTTCGACTTAGAATTTACGTTAAAGTTTTTGTAATAGTTCAAATATTTTCAAAGTCCATTGACATATGGCTTTGAAACTTTGCACACTTGTTCACCATCATGACCCCAACCTGTAGACAAGAGGAGGTAACTCTATCAAGCATTTTGACAGAATTATGCCCCTTTTTCGACTTAGAATTTACGTTAAAGTTTTTGTAATAGTTCAAATATTTTCAAAGTCCATTGACATATGGCTTTGAAACTTTGCACACTTGTTCAACATCATGACCCCAACCTGTAAACAGGAGGAGGTTACTCTATCAAGCATTTTGACAGAATTATGCCCCTTTTTCGACTTAGAATTTACGTTAAAGTTTTTGTAATAGTTCAAATATTTTCAAAGTCCATTGGCATATGGCTTTGAAACTTTGCACACTTGTTCAACATCATGACCCCAACCTGTAAACAGGAGGAGGTAACTCTATCAAGCATTTTGACAGAATTATGCCCCTTTTTCGACTTAGAATTTACGTTAAAGTTTTTGTAATAGTTCAAATATTTTCAAAGTCCATTGACATATGGCTTTGAAACTTTGCACACTTGTTCACCATCATGACCCCAACCTGTAAACAGGAGGAGGTAACTGTATCAAGCATTTTTTTTACTATCAAGCACTAAGAATAGTCGAGCGTTGCTGTCCTACCGACAGCTCTTGTTTACTGTTACTTCTTTATTTCTTAAGGGATCAACCTCATACTTCAAATATATGTACCTTATCATCATCCCCATCTTATGTGACAAGGTTCATAACTCTAGCACCAATATTTTGAGATTTATCTCCCCTTGAACTTAGAATTTTCCTCAAAAAATGCTATTTCTTACTGTTTCTTCTTTATTTCTTAAGGGATCAACCTCATACTTCAAATATATTTACGTTATCATCATCCCCATCTTATGTGACAAGGTTCATAATTATAGCACCAATATTTTTAGATTTATCTCCCTTTGAACTTAGAATTTTCCATAAAAAATATTATTTTTTACTGTTACTTATTTATTTCTAAAGGGATCAACTTCATACTTCAAATATATTTACGTTATCATCATCCACATCTTATGTCACAAGGTTCATAACTATAGCACCAATATTGCAAGAATTATCTCCCCATAAACTTAGATTTTTTTTACTAGAAAAATGTTATTTTTTATTATAACTTTTTTATTTTTAAAGGTATCTACCTCAAACTTCAAATACTTATTCCTTATCATCAATTACATTCTATGTGACAATGTTCATAACTCTTGAAGCAATATTTACAGATTTATCTCTCTTTGAACTTAGGATTTTCTTTAAGAAATATAATAACTTCTTTACTTTTTAAGGTATCTACTTCAAACTTCAAATATATATTTCTTATCATTACACAAATGTTGTGTGACAAGGTCCATAACTCTAGCATGACTATTTCTAGAATTATTCCCCTTGATCTTGGAATTTATGTTAACAAATGTTATTTTTTTACTATAACTTAATACATAATTATACATAATTGATTTTTCTTTCATAGTTTTGTCCTCCTTACTGCGTCCAGTATTTTATTAGTCGAGCTTCGCTGTCTCCTGTGACAGCTCTTGTTCTTCTTAGAATTCAGGATATTTTACTACAGCTGTTACTTGGGTTCTGTTGGGTAAATTTATATTTGAAAAACACAACTTTGTAACTCTTTTTATATTTAATCAGGGGATTCAGTTTTATGTACATGTATAACTTATTTGTTGCTTCTCAAATTGATTGAAGAAGACCATTAAAGTATTTTGTTGTGTTTGATTATTAATGTCATTTTCACTTTTTGTTCATAAAGCTGTGCCTGCTGTCTTTCTTACTGTTTTTGTTGACCTTTGATATATTACTTGTTCTATGAATATATTTACTCTTTAAAACTTTAATTCTGTTTTAATATGTTTAAAATCTTTAAATATGTTTTATTTTCCTCTCCTAGTATAGTTTGAAATGTTTTGATTTGATTTTCTTAGAAAGAAATAAATATAGAATTTCATACTATCCATTTTGTGTGTGTTTTGTATCATTGGTTAATATAGAATTACTACGGCCTGTAAAGGATACAGATATAGTGTTATAGAATTACCAACTTATAGATTGTATTTCACCTTTATGGCATAATATATACATTTCATAATTATCAAATTCTTTTGAAGGTCCTTGAAAACACATTGGCATATGAACAATGTATTGGGTCAGTTTTACTTGCATGACATTAGCGCAAATTATTTTTTCCCAGACAACGACATAGAGACGGCATCATGCTTTCAAGTACTGTTGAGGAACAGGCTCAATCAAACCGAGCTGCAACATTCTACAATTTTGCTGTTTTGGATGTTCTTGAGGGAGATCGTATTCACTTTTTCATTGTGATGTTTATTTCTTAAATTTTAAACTTAAAATGTCTTTCTGGTAAGGCGAACAAACAATTGTTATGATAATAGTGCAAACAACGGTGATTGTTTTGTTGTTTATAAGAGTTTCATTGAGGCAAAAAACCTATAACCATAAAATTTGAAATTCTTGCCTAGATCAAAAGAAACACTTTTAAATGGAAAAATTTGCAAATCATAAAAAAACAAGAATGTGTTTGTTAAACACAAAATGCCCACGGCTAAGATTCTTGTTGGTAACAATTTTTCACCCATTCACTCAGTTATGGACAGAAAAATTGCCAAAAAAATTGTAAGCACAGTTGCTGACTTGTGATGAAGTTGAAATTTGCCAATAAAATTTTATCAAATATTTATATAAATGCAAAACCTTGACCCAAGTGACCCCAATCTCCATCCAAACTTAAAGGAACTCCAATGAGGTTTATAAGCTTAAAACATAACATTTTATTTTTTTACATAGATAAACATGAGCACTTTAAACAGAAATATAAATAAAATATAACTAAAAATACACAAGAAATACATTAAAAATCATATGTTTGTTCCATTCTCAGTCGTATTTGAGTGAAAAGCGTTTAAACACTTTTCAATGTTAGGTCATTTTATCACTATCATAATAATTATTCTGGAAAAGTGGTGCGAACTAATGATCTGAAATTTTGCAAATCAGTTATTTGTATAGATCTACATCAAATGGAGTAATAATCTCAAAAAATTATTTCCAGTCCTGTCATGTCAAAAAACCTTAGTGGAGTCCCTTTAAAGGACCACTTGAGGTATTTATTTTATTCTTTATTATAGCCTCATCTATACACATATATACATATTATAAAACATTTAAAGCATTGAAATTGTATATAGCATTTCTCGAAAGAATTTCAAGAGACTTGTTATAGCTAATACTAAGAGGGATAACTCTACAGTCCATATTATAGAAATGTATAATATGCTGTAGATTTACCTCCCTTATTTACGTATTTCTCAACTAGGATAACATAATTGCACATTGTCATTATTGAAAAAAGATATTTGAGACATTTAATTACAAAATTATAATAGACTTTTTACATTCTAAAAGTTTGATAACCTCTACTGACCTCGACTTAAAAACTGCCATAAGAAATTATACTGTAAAGTACTAAATTTTGTATTAAAAGCACTATCACGCAATATAAAAAAATGGTTTTACAAAATCATTTATCACTGATGGTTTAACCATGGATGAACTGATCAGTAGTGATTATCAAAACATAGGGATAAAACAACTTATTTATGTAATTTAAAATATATCATATTTCTATGTGTTTAAAATTATATTAACTGTTCACTCCATGCAGGAGGTGAGATACAGACATTACAGACACTCTTGTTTATGAATTAAGAAATGTTTTACAGACTAACACTTATTTAATAGAATATTATTTGCAGAAAAAAAAATAAAAAAAATTATTTTGAATTGTCAGTGAAGCAAACATACTTTAAACTGTCAGTATCTGTATATATACCCCATCTCCTACATAGAATGAAATAATATAACTTTGCTTTACACTAGTTACGCTAATAATACTTATAATAAAAAGGATATATGACTTATTCTGAAATGTAGTCTGTTAACCTATTTATATAAATGGTTGTTTCTGGCTTTTAAAATCAAAAGGCACGTTTTGGAACTTACTTTTAACATATGTTCATTTGAGAGTTATCCTGATCAATTAAATTGTTAAATGAGGCATCAATCTCAATAGCTTTTTTAACAATATCATTTCTGAGACTCTGATACAATGGGCAATGAAATAAAACATGAACGTCATTTTCCACTGCAAGTTCACAAATCGGACAGAGAAGCTGTTCTTCTGGTATATTTTCATATCTCCCGGTTTCTAAACGGAGGGGGGCAACTCCACATCTAAACTTAGGTAACGCAGACTTGTATTTACTAGGCAAAGTTGTACATTCAACATACTTTTCAGTTTCATAAACAGATTTAAGTTTATTTCTACCCTTACCAGAGGGACCCGTGACATTTTGTATACTGGTTCTCCAATCATGAATGAAAGTATCCATGGTGCACTTAATTATCTTATCACAAAAATGTTTGGAAGACATGTTAATACAATCGTTTGACATATTCAATAAATTGTTTGCCAATAGATGTTTCTTATACAGAAATTGCAAATTTTTGCAACTATTATTACTATTACTGTCACAAAATCTAAAAATCTTGAAATTAATTCTCTCACTATCCATTGCCTTCACTCTCTCTATGCCAATGTTGAGACACAGATCTCCACTGTTTCACATGAGGGGGTTGCCAACCAAACTCGCCATAAATGGCATTAATAGGGGTATATTTACCCAACCCCATAAAGAATCTCATTGCTCGACTCTGCACTGCATTTATGCAAGAATAGGATCTTGTTCCCCAAACAGATGCCCCATATGC